CATCATTTGATTGCTCGAAGTTGCAAATATTGTGTTGCGTTGGCTAAAAGAAGGGTTAAAGTTTTGGGACAACAGCCCCACAAAAATATCGACTCCATGTGATTGAGTCATTGAGTTTGTGAGAACTGATAAGAAGAATCATTGTGTCCACAAGAAGATCGACTAAACCGATTGACAAGGAGAGCAAGGCTCTCGATCATAGTGCGCTTGACCGGTGCACGGCTGCAGGTTGCCGAGTCCGCGACATCTGCACTGGTCCAGGCCAACTTCTTGGTGTGCTCCATTGCGGAGGTGGACGGTTTTGACGAAGTGGGCACGGCAGACCTCTTATGGTTGGCTTCGTCCATCGCGTTCTCGGTCTTCATGCTCGGCTTTGGGTTCGCGTGCCGAGACAAAGGCACCACTCGAGTTCTGGGACATCCCGGAAAGCTGGACTGGGGAGGTCTTTTGGTGGTCTTGATTTGCGTCAGATTCATGGAAGTCGGCAGCACCATCCTTGCCATCAATATGTTCCATGTGTCGGCTCGGTCAGACCGCTTTCGAGTTGGAGGACCTATGCTCGTCGCAACGCTTGCGATGGTCTCATGCGTGGTTTTCCCACATGGAACCTGGCCAGATGTATTGGCAGCGGTCATTGCCCACCCTGGACAACTGTTAGAGGCGAAATCCCGGCTGCCGTTGTGGGGCTCCCTACTATTGAACGGGCTGTCGAGCACAGCCGTGGTGCTCTCACAAGCCCTGGTTCGGAGCCCAGCCTTTGCAGATCCACACGCTAAGGCCCGGTTCAATCAAGACTCACTCATCGCCATGTAGTTTATTTGTTTGTTCCACTAAAGAAGGGTGCAAGGATTCCCCCAGACAAGATGGGAAGAAGTTCAAGTTTTGATGACCCACGTTGGCATCGCAACCTAAGTTGAAGATGCCATTTCAAATGTGCCATTTGTATCCATTTCTATAAAAACGCAATAGGGCTCCTAAAGCAATGTTTGTGATGTGAAAGCTATGTGTTGGTTTGCACTCGCTTTCTTGTTCAAGACGCAGGTGGTGCCAAAGTGGCTGTTGGGCGCCTGGCTGTCCATGACATGCCTCAGCTGGCTGGGGCGGCTACTTTTTGCCCATTATGCTGACGAGGTCAGAGTAGAATTTGGATGACTTGGCATTGCACACCTGCGCACATGCCCCTTCCGCCCTGTTGCAGGTGAAACATCCAATGTTCCAACGCTTGGCCAATGAGAGTGCTTTGGTTGATCATGGTCGATCTTGGTTGATTTGTAGATGCCTCCTTAAGTCCATGTCAATCCATCTTGAACTCCAAGGCACATACATCACGTACTCAGCGATCAAGGCTGAACTGAGCTGCCCCGGAGAGGTGCTTTTTCATGCTTTTTCTAATGAGTGGATGGTTAGCTTGTGGCTTTAGAAGTTGAGAACCGACACGAATGCACAAGCTTTCGCTGCGTAGGTGCCTCCAGCTGTGCTGGCAAGTCTACCCAGCACACTTCGCCTAGATCCGAATGCGTCATGGGTTCACGAAAAAGAAAAAGAAGCTCAAGCGCTACCGGATGGCCTTGCTTTGGTACGGGGCCTTCAAATGGAAGCCGCGACAATGGTCGCCATCGGAGAGGGCCGCACTGGCCAGCTGTTTTCCATCTTAGCACAAGATCATGAATTGGAGGATCCAGTGTTACGTTTCAGAAACGGTGCTTTTTGTGAAGGGATGGAGAAAGTTGATGAGAGTTGCATTTCCGAGAGTGCGCGCTGGGTGCAGGAGCTCAACCTCAGCGGTTGCACCGAGATTCCTGCGGAGGCCTGGCAGCAGCTGGGCAAAGCCAATTGGATGAAGCTCCGAAAAGCCAATTTCCTGCAGTATCTCGGCAGTGGAATTGGCCCGAAGGTGGGAGCACACGATGTAGAATGGCTCGTGTGCTGATGCTTTGACAGAGTTGGCGATCCGCAAATGTTGGCCCAGCATTTTTTCCATCAGACCAAGCCCGCATTTAACCTTGGTGGATCAATGTTGAGTTTTCCTTCATGGAAAATGGTTTGTTTTGTTTCTCGATGAGCTCCTGACTTCCCTATGACTCTATGACTGACAAGAGCTTCTAGCATCTCTTTTTCATAGGTTGTGCACAGGTTGCCATCGGCCACATATAGATGTAGTCACGCTCAAACGCTCCTGGCAAAGGAACTTCGGGAAGGAAGAACTCTCAAAGCCTGATGATGTTTTGGACACCCTCCTCGGTAAAAACCATCTCCTCTGTTGAATTCTGTTTGTTTCCCTCAAAAAATCCGTTGCTCCTTGCTTCTTTTGAGGGATGTTTGGGTTGTAGCACGGCAACCTGACAGTCTTTTCGATTGTCCTGAACGTCCCCTCCAGGACTATTTCCGTCGCACGAAGGGAATGACATGAATCTGAAGCACAAACTGCGGTAGCGGAAAACCAGCCCTACACCAGCATACGATCGAAGATCAAACGATGTGGATCGACCTCTTAGGGGCCTTTATGGCTTGAGGGAAACGTGCACAGATCCATGCCCCACATGATGACCTCACACATTCAGCCTGAATGAATCAATGACGTTTGCTCGTTGACATGAATTTCTCCCAAGTATAGATGTTAGCTCTTCATTGCTCCGAGGCTGGCCATTAAAGTGTTCCATGATTGGTTGTATTTAGAGAGACCACAAGTTGCCCACTTCACCACAGCTGTTCTCAGGTGCTTCCAGTCAGGCTCCAAGGGTGCCAGTGGCGCCGTCGTTGTGCTCACGGCCTTGGCCCAGTGCCACGAGTTGAAGGACGAGTTGACCAAAACGCGTTTCACCGTGCCGTCGCCCTCGGAGGACTTCTCGCGAAACGCTGCAGGAGCTGGACCTCTTCGATTGCTCCAAGATTCCTGCGGAGGCCTGGCAGCAGCTGGGCAAAGCCAATTGGACGAAGCTCCGAAAAGCCAATTTTGTCGGGTATCTCGGCAGTGGAATTGGCCCGAAGGTGGGAGCACACGATGTAGAATGGTTCGCGTGCTGATGCTTTGACAGAGTTGGCGATCCTCAAACGTTTACGCTATAGGGCATGGATTCAGACTTTTCTTGCAAATGTCTTTGCTTTGGAGAGCAAACACCTGCAAATTCCATGTTCTCGGATTGTGCCCAGCATGTTTTCAACAAGAGACCAAGCCCTCTAGCTGCCCTAGCTTTCAATTTCCACGCATCAAGGAATGTTGTTTCTAAACTTGAATTTCTTTTGAGTTCAGATGTTAGCTCTTCATTGCTCCGGGGCTGGCCATTAAAGTGTTACACGACTGGTTGTTTAGAGTTGGAAGGGAAAGAAGCATCCTGGGTCAAATGGGCCCCGGAAGCACCCCAACAAAACGCTGAGGCCATCTCAACTGAACAAAGTCAAGTTCAGAAGCTGTTCCGGGTTCAGAAACTAGGGTTCCGAAACTAAAACGAAGGGTTCAGAAACTACAGCTCAGAAACTACGGTTCAGAAACTGGTTTTGTCGTGTTCAGAAACTGTTTTTGCCGGGTTCAGCAACTCCTTTTGTCGGTTTCAGAAACTCCGGGTTCAGAAACTATTTCAGAAACTATTTGGGTCAGGTTCAGAAAGTGTTTTTAACGAATTCAGAGTGTTTTTTTCTCTTCGGGCACACTGATTGCTTCAGGTTGACGTAATGTTTATCTGAGCAAACCCCTAGTCTTAGCAAATCCGAGTTTCCAAAATCCACGTTTCCAGTTTCGGAACCCCACGTTCCTAGTTTCCGAACTCAAGTTTCCGAAACCCGCGTTCTGAGTTTCCGAAGCCTAGTTTCCGAACCCAACCTTTTAGTTTCCGAACCGGACGCTGACCATCTCAACTTGTCTACCTGAAGTAAGCCTCCAGGCAAGACCACTCTCATCGGCCAAAGGCACCAAAGCAACATGACAGCCACATCTGCCACCCTAAGCATCCCATGAGCCCCGTTCCCCCATGTGTATCGCGGGGTTCCAAGGTGTATGGTCCCTTGGAAGACTCTGTTGCTCCACAAACAAAAGGTGTATGAAGGTGTATGTCCTAAGTCGTCCACTTCACCACAGCTGTTCTCAGGTGCTTCGAGCAAGGTTCCAAGGGTGCCAGTGGCGCCGTCGTTTTGCTTGCAGCCTTGGCCCATTGCCACGAGTTGGAGGACCAGTTGACCAAACGCGTTTCACGTGCCGTCGCCCTCGGAGAACTTCTCGCGAAACGCTGCAGGAGCTCCACCTCAACAAGTGCACCGAGATTCCTGCGGAGGCCTGGCAACAGCTGCGACCTGGAAGCTTTCCGCGCTTGAGAACCTGCCATGGAGTGCCGCCAGACATCGAGTCAAGCTTGCGTAGCACCTCGGCCAGCAGCTGGCTGATGCGCATAGTAAAAGTATAGTAAAAGTATGATGGCTGCATCAAGTAGCAGCCAACGTGTCTTGTTTGCATGCCGACCCCATGTTGATTTAGCAGCTGGGCATGAGGTGTAAGCACGTCAAGCTTTACATTTGACCGTTCACCATTGGCTCTAGTCTGATTATGCTACAACAAATCAGACATGGATTGACCTTTAGCCACATGTTCGTCACCATGGTCTTCGCAAACTAGGCAAAGCTTAGACACGTTGTTTTTATATGGCTACTGGAAAAATACCGTTTGCAATGATGAACCAACAGCTCATACAATCTGATTTGTTCCTTTGATTTGTTTTGAATTCGGAATCCCTACTTCAGGCGCAAAATGGAAGCAAAATTCATGAACGCATGCTCAACAAATGACAGATTCTTTTGACAAATTTTGCCTGGTTGTCCTTCATCGAGATCAACCCAGTTTCTCAACCAAGAGAGCTTTTGAACACATCTCATCCAACCCTGCACTTGTAGCAGGCTTCTCAAACAGTTTCTGTAAACTATGCGTTGATACTTGTCATCGGCTATTTGTGAATTGTATTGGCTCGTTCTGTCGTTATTCACACTTCAGCATCATGAAAATTTGCGGAATTCGGAAGAGCAGGAAAGGTCTGGAAAGGAATCAAATTCTGTACTGACAAGGCCCACTCAGAGTTCCTGAGTCTTCTCATTCAAGATCGCAGTGGTGACCAAACAGCGGGTGTGACAATCTGGAACCTGAAACATCAACCGGAAAGAGAGAGAAACGCATGTGCCCAAGGGTGTGGTTCCTGCTTTGATCACACTAGAGAAAACAGAACTATATGAGTTAGAGAGAGAGAGAGAGCAAAAGCTTCAGTTTGAGCAAAAGCTTTTCAGGCTGTCAAGAAGCAGGGATCCAGCCAAACTTGCAGTGCGGAATACAGCAAAAGGGAAACTATTTTGATCCCTGTAGTGCTCCACATCCGACAATCTAGGGTTCATTTGCAATGTCTCACCTCACAGATGTCAAGATCACGCTCCTCTTGCAAAACCTTCAACACGGCATGCGGCATGATGTTCCTTCTGCTCAAAGCTTTGAGCTCCTCCGACCAAAACCTGCAAGCCGGGTCTCCAGAATATGCCATTCCGTTTCATTTCAATGCACGTCACGTCAAACCCAAGGACAATGTCCATTTTGCTCGCGCAACATGGTCAATCAGCAGCAACAATCAACAGCAACGCAGGTCTGCTGAGAAAACATCGAACACGCATTGCTCAGACCCCTCATGGCATCCTAAGGTTTTTGTCATGTGAAGAAGTGTTTTTTGAAAAACGGATAAACTTGATTTTGTTGAAGCTTGATTGGACACGCAAAGACTGCTAGACATCAGACACACCAGCATCATGTGGATGCATTCTGTCACGCAGTTGTCCTGGACAAAGCGACGCCAGCTTGCGAATGCCCAGGTTGCACAAAAGGTGCATGCGGACCAAGCGGATTTGCAACCTGTCACTGTTGGTTGGCCAAGCCTATTCTCAGTGTGACAAGTTTCACCGCACTTACTCAATGAAGACTTTTGTGCGCAGATCGGGTGGATCGCACGCTCCGCTTCATCATTCACCAGCCTCCGAAGCTCAGCATTCCCCAACTGAAGACGTTCACTGTCAGCTTGATTTCCTCTGTTTGAGCTTTTGCTTCTTGCGTCTCTCTTCTCCACAGCATCAGTTTCATTCCTAAACCCATACAATTCACCCACAAAGACGCTAGGTCTAGGTGCAAGCAACGCCATAAGCCGCATGTCAGCGTGTCACAACAACTGCAAACTCAGAATCTGCAATTCGTTATCTCGTCTTGTCATAGCAAAAAAATGGTGGCACTAGCAAGTGTCCAGTGCCAAGCAATTTGCGTTGCCCTGTCTTCAATCACCTTTAGAACAGCCTCAGAGATTGCAGTCTCTTGTGTCATGTCAATTTTGCTTAATTTAACAAGAGTCTGATGAAATGACATGCAGTCTGCCGTTCAATGACTCCAAGTTGTCTTCGTACAGCCATTGAAACATCACGTTAAAGGAAATAATTCCATTTAAAGTTATATAAGTCTAATGAAGATGGCATACTTGCAATCATCCAAAATGTTCGACAATCTGTCGGTTAAGTCTGAGATCAACTCTCCGCGCGCTTTGTTACAGTTCGCTCTTGGCTTTTTCACAAACGCATTGCACTTCGGATAGCGACAGCGCCACATCACTTCCTCAATCAATCCCGTCATCTGAAAAGGTTATTCAAAGATCTTCCCCGTCTCAGAAAGTTCTTTGAAACTGACAATCGGCGTATACTCTACACAGTGTTAAAGTTGGATTCCTGACCCGAAACATTTTGAAAACGTCCTGGCCCACCTTCAAGAAGCCATGCCTCCATGAAACCAAAACGGCTGACCTTTTGGAAGAATCGGCGCCTGAAGTTTCAGTTGTATTTTCTCACTGTTGTTCATTCGTATGACGGTGATCTTTGTTTTTGAACCTGAAGGGGACCAAAGGAAAATTCTTCACAAAAGGTGGCTCCCTGCATGGAAGCGCACACGCTTTGTTTAATGATTTTGAATGAAAATGACTGTCCATATCCCTTTTATGTCACTTTTACCGGGCACCTCAGATTTCTATCTAACAGACCACTTTGGACATGTCACGTGTTTCCTTCAATTATATTAGCAGACTTTGTTTAACTGAGTGCTCCATGGTACCTCACCGCGTAGCAACGGGGATGCTCCTTTTTACCCAAAAGCTTTGGGGGGACCTTCATGCTGACACAGTGCCCTAGGGAAACCTGTGTGTGAACGCTTGCCGAAACAAAGCCGCCGATCAGGTCACAAGGAAGATTGAGAGAAGCAATCAGTGGGATTGCCATCCAGATGCTCGTGGCTTTGGCCAAGCGGAACAAGTCTGAATAAGTTGAGGAAATCTTGTTGGAATATGTGTGGGGGGTGACTTACGCCACTCTCTCTTCAAAGTCACAACTTGCATAATGGGAAGTTGAAGCTTTCATTCAGCCAATTGACGCAGATGTTTCTGCTGTAGCAAATTCTCCCAGGCACGATACTACAGATGCGGTTGGGCACAAAGCCAGATACGATCCACGTTGTCCATCTTTCACACCTGCGAAACGCACTTGGTTTCACGGTTCACCTTGATCCTTCGGATTTGCAAATGTTTCGAGCCCGAAGCCGAAAAAATGTGCAAGCGCATGTTGCTGCCAAACCTCAAATCCTGGACTGGAAGATGGGAATCGAACAGCTCGTCATTTTACCCTGCAGTGGATCAGTATAGAAGAGCAAACAACCCTTTGACTCTTTGAAAGGGAAAACCAAAAGCATTGCGAATTTGTTTTGTTTGCACAACGGCAGCAATTATGCAGATCATGCGGCGCTTGTAGGAACTGTTTGAGTGTGGGTTGGCCAGCTCAAAAGTTTGTTTTTTCTGTGCGTGATATTACCGTGATTTGCAACCTGCCATAAACTTCTGGCTCAAGCTCCTAATGAGTCGAAAAAAACGTGCAATGTGCCTCACGATATATGTTTGGTGGCTTTGTGAAACCTTGTATTGTGGTAGCACTGAGTCAACACCTACTCTCAGGTTATCAGCCGTAGCGCTGGCTTGGCGGAAGAAAAGCAAGCATTTGATTTTTATTTTGATGCGCGCTGCCAAGTCACATTGCACTTCCTGCAAGCTCGCACAAAGTGTGAGTTTTTCCATGGAGCCTCCAGAGCCTCTCCAAGAGATGGCATCTCTACATGGAACGTTTTCAAAAGTGCTCGCAGAAGCTGGTCGTGCAATTCGCAAATCACATGTTATGGTTGCCGTGCCGTCCAATGCTGTATGTTTAGTTTCATTAAACAAGCTTTTTCGTGACACACGGGTCCGGTTTTCAGTCCGGCCAAAACATGGCGCCACTTTGCTAACTCTGCCCCGCCGAGGAGTTGGAAGAGCTGCATGTCACAGAGGACCGACGATCCTTGCGTCGACGGACTTTCCGTTCTTCAGTTGGGGTTAAAATCTTGGACTGGACTCCGCAAGAAAACTGTGCTCGTTTCGAATTTTAGAAAAAGGAGTCTGAACTACTTGTGCCAGATTCGTTTGGGAAGTGGAGCCATTACACCATCGTGTTGAACCCAGAACCTGCATTTGTATTGTCAGACCGTGTATCCTCCCAAACTCTTTGACGGGGTGTAGATGAAATGGACCACAAGGAGAGTTGCAGTTCCTACCGTTCGGCCTACCGCAGCTTCGTTTTCCAAAAAAAAAGGAAAAACCTGCCCAACCTCGGGGAAGGTCGACATGTGCCGCGTTGGGAAGGTCCAACAGCTTCAGAGTCAAGTCTGGGAGCTTCAGAAGCGTTTGAGCCAAGGCAACTTGGGCGAAATGCTGCCTGTGCTTGGTTGTTGAGGGTGTTTTCTCTCTCTTTTTTGGCTACATGTATGTTTGGTTTCTTTTGGTTAGGTCGACATGAGGCCGGACTAGTTTATGTTGTAAAGACCTCTTTCAGGGATTTCAGTTGGACTTGCTCAAACTCTCTCGGAGTTGTTCTATTGAATTTGACCAGTAGAAAGCACGGGCATTTCCAAGGCTTAAAGCATTTTGGGGGGCGATGACCAGAGAGAAAAGATGCGCAGGATGTCATGTTTGGGCAAAAGTGTTGCCATGCTTGCATTCCCTGCAACCCCAGCGGCACGCGAGTCTCCATCAAACGGCAAGGTTGCTCTGGACCTCAGTGCGACTTTTTGGTGAAGGCCATCCAAGAGCATCCCGCCACCCGGCTGTTTTTTCAGGTCCTGGGATGGGAGAAATGGAGAAGTATTGAGCAGTGGTCCATGGCTGTGAGCGGAGCTATATGGAGGTGTTCGCCTTGCTGGAATTGTCGAGTTTTGGGTGGTAAGTCCATGCATCAAGAAGCAGTCCGGGTGGAAGGGGGCAAGGGTTCCCAAGGATTGGGAGTGAGTTTAACGCATTGGAACAGCTGGTGCTTCCACGGATCCATTTCACCGAGCCATTCTGGGAGGTGGAAAAAGGTTTGGAGGCCGACGCCACTGCGTTCTTGAGTGCGTGTAGTAATGCCTGTGGACAAAATCGCGATGAAAATGCTGAACACTCGAGAAGTTGTCAACAATAGAAGGCCGAGACTGCACAGGAATAGGGAGAAGGACGAGGACTGCCAGGTAGCGCCAGAAAAGGTCATGCAAGGCCGTGTCCCTACAAGTACTTCCAAAAACACCCGCCGACAATCATCCTTTGTCACTGTTCAGAACAGAAACGCCAATTCGCACAGTGGGTAGGAAGCCCAACTGTGAAAGTTAAAGACCCAAACGTTCTGTGCGGCGCGGCAGCTGATTTCCGCCCCATTCTTTGCGCCCGATCTTCATCATCTTCACCTTTTGGCTGTTGGACATTATTGGGCCCTTTCTAAGGTTTGACAGCTGATTATGGAAAGCAACGACTTCCATTTCTGAAGCGCCCAGCCCAACGCTGCGGCGACTCTGAGGACTCCAACTTGCACGGTGAGATGGAGGAGTTGGAGTGTTTGCAGTGCCTTGGATCTGAGAACGACGACACGGTCTAGAAGCAAGGAGAGAAGGTGAACTTGGAGGTGTAGGAGATTATAAGTGAATCGTATGAGCCTCAGACGTCCCTCAAAAGGGACAAATTTGTAGTACCATGATGTATCCCAGGTGGTGCACGAAAACTTGCTTTGTCGGTAGGTTTCTCATAAAGATGTTGTGCACAGAGCTATTGGTCTCATATAAACCCATGGTCAACCAGTTCCCAAAGTGCAGATTCCCAAGAGTTCGTTCAATTCTGTTGGCCAAGCTTTTGAGGAAAAGTTCGCACTTGAGGAATGAAAAGAGAGAGCCAACGGGAAAGAGAAATGATCCAAAGTTCTAAAGAAGGAAAACCGATAAAGGGAATGAAAAGGATGTTAATAAAAGATAGCTCTATATAACATGCTTGAACCTAAGACTTCACGAAGACTTCTCATGGGAGTCTCCATGAGCTGAAATGCACTGAATGTACGTACCTGGGTCATCACATCACCCAGTCATTGAATATAAGACAGGAAGTGGGTCAAAGAATGCAGCAAACCATGAAAACATGGTTCAAACTCAAACCATTCTGGCAAGCAGCAAATTGCACCCCTAGATGGAGGCTTCGTGTCTATCATGCGGTAATCCAAAACAAACTTACTTATGGGTTGGAAACCGTTCACCTTACCCAAAGCATGTTAAAGAGAATAAATGCATTTCACCTACGTGGCCTGAGATCGATCTTGGGACTGGAGACCACTTTTGTCAATCGAAGAAACACAAATGAGTTTGTCTTGAGAACTGCTTCTGAACACGCTGGACAACAAATCCAGTTGTTTTCGGACCTCCTCCTGAAAAAACGAGCTGCATTAGCTGGATATATTCTTAGAACCATAATGGTGATCCATTAAGACAAGTCACTTATGCGCCCAGTTCTGCAAGCGGTTTTCCCATTGGCAAGAGAAGGGTTGGAGGTCCGAGACAGCAATGGCGCCATTTCACGCACAAACACATCTGGGATAACTTTTCGGACGAACGGACGGAGTATGAAAACACGGAAAGGTAAAACCAAAAAATGTATCAGATGCGCGCGGAAATTTTGAAAGCTGTCGCATCGTGGGCCTACGGACACTTTAGTGCCCACGGCAGGAAAAAATAAAGAAGGAACACCAAGAAAATGTGCAAAAAAACGATAGCTCTAATTTGCTTTAACATGCCAACCAAGGTCGGCCGTTGAGACCGGCTCCTTGGACGGACTGGCGCTTCAAAAAAGGACGCTGGGGAATCAGAATGAATCAGATACACGCTTCACAAGTGGTATTTGTCATAAATAAGTGGTATTTATGTCTTCTTCTGTCCTTTCATACTTCGTTCAAAAAGAGTTCCTCAAACCACTTCGGACGGAAGATGCCATGCCAGAGCATGCAGCAAGTAACGGCGGGTAAGAGGTATACCGTACTTCATTCATGCTCATTCCAGACTTGGGCTTTGTTTAGAGGCTTTTTGTTGGAACAAGGTGGGCAAGTGGGGCAAAAGAGAAGGGAGTTGAAATTTGATTTGCTTTTGTTTCATACGGTCGAGTGTTTAATGGTTGTTACACGATTCTTTGTGTATCCTTCAATTGATCTCCAGCATTGAACTCTGCACTTCTTCCAACTCAGAAACACGTTCACGTCGGTTCGCTCGAGTTTCTGTCAGCGAGGTGATCGAATGGACGTCACTCCCAAGAGGCCCAGCGTTTCGTCCGAAGAGCGGAAATTGCATCGGCGACGTGATTGGAGAACTCAGTGAAGCCCTTTTTTCGGTGAAACCATCCGTGCCAAGGGGCTTCGCAAGCTTGGTTGTCTACTTGGTCACTAAGGATGTTCAAAGTTTGTTAAGACTTGCGTGATCCATCTATGACCTGCAGTGCTTGATGTTGAATGGCGTCGGTTTGTTTATAAGATGTTTCTCGGAGCCCTCCATTGTCGTGTCAAAAACTACCTTGGAGTTATCAAAGGCCAACCGACACGAATGCAGTCCCCCTTCTGGTTTCGCATTTGTCAGACTGTTGATGCTGGAAGCTTTTTTTTTCTTGCTTGGCTTGGATCATGTACACCCTCGCAGGTTGGTAAAGTAGCTTTACAGTAGGTTATGTTCAAATCCTTGGAGACTTTGCTTGGTGCGACCATGCTTCCACACGATTGGAACACTGGACAAGGTCGCGACCTTCCAATTTGATTTTTCTCATTTTGAGTGACCAGCCATTTTCGATGACCAGCGCATGCCAGGAACAAGTCCTCGATCTCTGCTTTGCTGACAGCATCTTTGGGCGCCTGAGTGAGCGTTTTTCGTTTGGTTCTGCCAGTTTTATAGTCGTAAGATCAGTTTCGGGAGGGCACAGCTCTGCATTTGCGGAGTGCTTCTAGTATCCTTTTGAGAGCCGACCATGCGATGTCTTCTTTAGTTGTTTTGACTCATGTGACTGTGGAAAGCCTGGAATGGTTGGGTCTCCGCTTTCTTTGATCTGGGTCGTGCCGTCAAAGGACCCTAGACAAGTCACCGACTATCTACCATCGGCTATGTCCATCCTTCTTCCTTCTTCTTGGGTCACTACAATCATGAAAAAGACTCAGCACTCAGCAGCCTACCACTGGTGGTTTCGCACCCGAAGTCTA